AAAAAAAAAGTGTCTGGAAATTTGATCACGGTAGACAGTAAACTAAGTGATTTGTGGAGTTCCAGAAAGTCTACTGAGTCCCAGAAAGAACAGTGGAAGTCTACAGTGTTTCAGGCGCTGGGGTGGGCGGGACATGCCTGGAACACTGACAGCATGGAAGACAATGAATGACTTTACTCCACATGGGAGAACAATGCCCACACAGCGGCGCAGTCACTGGCTCAGCCACACATCATCATGGAAGGTCAGAAGCACTGGCAGCCTGTGGTTGACACATAGGAGGAGACCAACAGGCCAGTCAGAAGTGCAACATGGAAATGTAGGCAATGCGATGCTATGGGTCTTGAGATGATCACATGTTGTCTGCAAAGTGTGTACAGGACTGACACACTCAGGGCCAGACAAGGGGACCTTAGTGAGTCAGTTATTATTAGGTGAACACAGGCCTTGTAACCAGATTCCATCTTATCAACTTCGGGGCCTTTGAATGAATTCTCCAAGCCACATGGAGATCCGCAAAGGTGAAGCCTTACTGGCTTTAGGAGTTGTGCTGTCTAGGGGTATGGATCAATTTCTCTGCCAGATAAAGAATTCAGTGGCAGAGGGGCAGAGAAGTAAAGCAGCACATTTGTTAAAAGCCAAGGTAGGCTGCCGGTTCTCTGTGGAGAGGGGCCTTAGAGCCATTGAAGTCCCTCAAGGAAGTGGCTTTTATTGATTTTCCTCCTACCTGGGAGGAATTGGCAGTGAGGGCCCACGTGCCTGCTTGGTTTCCTGTTTAGTTTCTGCCACAGGGCACAAGCAGGGATTAAGCCCCATGGTCGTGTACTGCTGTGCACAGGTACAGAAGTGCATGTGCTGGGTCATGCCAGGTCATTCACGAGGCATTATCTCCTTACGTAGGATTTTGAACGTTGCGGGAAGAGGAGGCGCCATTTTGAGCAGGAGATTGAGGCACTGTGGGAACAGGAAGCGCTAAGATGGGTCACATGTTGTCACATGTTGTCTGCTACCTGTCATATCACCAATTCTCCTTCCCTTCCTTCAGGAGTGACAGTCTCTCATTGGTCACTGGCTGACCATTAAGCTATGCTGATCCAGGGAGTCTGGCTTAAAAGTAAAAACAAGGGAAAAAGCCCAAGTAGATACACTAGTGGCACAATTACTGTAAGTGGATAACTTACCAAATAAACAGCAACAACTACCAGCTGGGTGGGGAGCAGGAATCGGAATCCAGAGTAACTACAATATATTCCCTAAAATGTCTGGGTTCCAACAGCTTATTATGATACACACAGAGAACCAGGAAAACTACCTATACACAAGAAAAAGGGTAACAAGTAGGGACGGTTTCCTAGTGGGCCTAGATGTTGAAGTTAGCAGATACCTATTAAGATAGGTTTAAAGATGTAAATGAGCTAGGCGCTGTGGCTCATGCCTGTCATCCTAGTTACTCAGGAGGCTGAGATCTGAGGATTGTAGTTCGAAGCCAGCCTAGGGAAGGAAAATCCATGATACTCTTATCTCCAATTAATCCCCAGAAAACTGGAAGTGGCGCTGTGGCTCAAAGTAGTAGAGCACTAGGTTTGAGCATAAAAGCTCAGGGACAGTGCCCAGGCCCCGAGTTCAAGCCCTATGACTGACAAAAAAAAAAAAAAAAAAGGAAACTGGTTGTGAATTTGGTATAAGGGGCATGGTACAGGGAAGTGAATGGGCATGCGGGGTAGTTGGTAGTCTCCATGGCTGTGGCTTCCTCTTCTCTCCCTGTCTCCCTCCCCTCCCCTCCCCTTCTCCCTCTCCCTGAGATACAGATTATGCTTCAAAGCTAGCCAGGGCAGGTATATTCCTCCCTCTCTCCCTCTCTCCCTCCCTCCTTTCCTCCTTTCCTCCTTCCTGCCTCCCTCCCACCCCCATACACACAGAAGCACACAGTGAGTTGGTAGAAGGTTAAGCCATGCTAAAAGACTGCTTTTAGGACAGGTGTGGAGCCTCCACGGGGTCTCCGAGGGCTGATGGTGAGGGCTCAGAGGACATGCTGGGAAGAGGTCTGGACGTCCTTGGAGACAGCAGAGCTCCACTGATTTTTCCAGTCTGGAGTTGATCCATAGTCTCTCATAGGTTGGAGTGGGGGTGCAGAGAAGGGGGGCTCTCTAGGCGGCAGGTGGATCCTTCAGCAGACTGGCAGAGGAATCAGGGACGGGAAGGGGCAGCAGGATTTGGGGCCCTGGCAGCCCCTGTCAGGCCCAGGGAAGGCTAGGTTTGGGTCAAGCCTGCAACATTTTGTGCTGAGACAGAGATCTTCACACCAGGCCGCTGAGCACCCCCCCCCAGCTCACCCCCCCCTCCCCGTGACTGCACGGGTCCCTTCCTCTTGCAGTGCCCCTCTGGTGCCCCACACCCCGAAGGCTTACCATGTGGGGGTGAAGAGGTTCAGACCCTCCTCACTGGCACGTGTTGGTGCATCCTGAGCTGAGACACAGTGTGTTGTTGGCCGGCACAGAGCCGTGGCGGCTGCTGCTGTGCAGGGGAAGCGGGAGAGACCACTCTCCAGCTTGGATCTGGTTCTGTCGAGGGAGGAACCTTAGCGAGATCCAAAAGCTGGGCGGCCACGGCTCCCCGGACAGAGCCGGTGCAGTTCATCCTTATCTCCTCTCCTTCTCCCCCCGCCGCAGATCAAACCACGACCTAGACCTGGAGACCTGATTGAGATTTTTCGAATTGGCTATGAGCACTGGGCCATCTACGTGGAAGACGACTGTGTGGTCCACCTGGCCCCGCCGAGTAAGAGGGACGCGCCCCGGAAATAGCCACGGGCAAGTTCTTAGCAGAGGAGCCAGGAGCAGAGTTATCACCGTGCTCCCCGCCGCGGCCCTTCCCGGGCCTTGATTTACTCTCTGGGCAGAAGAGCTGGGTCTCTGTTCACCAGTAGGGTCTAGACCAGTGAGGGTCTAGCTGTGGGAGTGGCACACGTGTAGTGTCCCCTAAACTCCCTGGCCTTTTAACCACCCTTCAAAAATAAAAACCTAGGGGCTGAAAAAGCGACTTCCTGGTAGAGCGCTTGCGTAGCAGGCACGAAGCCCTGGGTTCAATTCCTCAGTACCACATGCACAGAAAAAGCCAGAAGAGGCGCTGTGGCTCAAGTGATACAATGATAGCCTGGAGCAAAAGAAGCCCAGGGACAATGCCCAGGCCCTGAGTTCAAGCCCCAGGACTGGCACCAATAAATAAATAATAAATAAATAAATAATCTAGCCAGGCACCTGTGCCTCCTAGCCACTCAGGAGGCTGAGATCTAAGGATTGCAAGTTGAAGCCAGCCTGGGCAGGAAAGTCTGTGAGACTCTTATTTTTAATTAGCCACCTAAAAAAGCCAGAAGTGGACCTGTGATTGAAGTGCTAAGATACTAACCTTGAGCAAAAACACTCAGGGACAGCACCCAGTCCCTGAGTTCAAGTCCCTGAACCAGCACCCCCGCCCCTCTTTCCATTACGAATCGAAGGATTCTGAGCCTTCATGTTTGTACTGATAACTGAGCACCCTTTCCATATTTCTGGAGGTCCCATGGGTGGGGTGTGGGCAGTGTTTCCTGGTGTCCTCAAATCTTGCTAGGGCCTTCCTCCTCATCCTGCCCAAAGTGGAAGTCTTTATCCTGCAGGCTGCTTCACCGCCATGCAGGCCCAGTCCTCAGTCCGTTTCTCAAGGCCCAGGTGACGCAAGGCTTGGCCTTGTGGAGAAGTGATGGGGGAGGAGGGGCACAGGATGTCAGGCAATGTAAAATGGTTATCAGGAGCCGCAGCTCCCAGAGCTTGCCCGAGGAGCCGGGCCTGGGAGGATTTCTTTTGAATTTTGTATCCTGGGCAAGTCTTGAGCTTTCGGAGTAGAAAGCCTTTGGCCAGAGCTTGTTCACAGATCATCTCTGTGTGCAGTCCTGGTCCATGACAGCTGGTCTCAGAAGGAAGAGAACAGCACAGTGTGGAAGAGCTTATAATGAGATGCGAGACACCTGTGGGCTCCCTCCCCGTCACGCTAAGCCCAGGGGTAAGCCCTTTGCACTCGGAGCTGCTACTTCCAATAATTAGCTCCCTTTTCCCCAGAAATCTTAAAATCATAGCTCCGTCACTTCAACTAATGTAAAAGACATCAGTATCGTTTGTCTCTCTCTCTCTCTCTTTTTTGTTGTTGGTCATTGGGTTTGAACTCTGGGCCTGAGCGCTGTCCCTCAGCTCTTCACCTCAAGGCAAGCACTCTACCACTTGAGCTACAGCACCACTTCCGGTTTTCTGGTGGTTTATTGGAGATAGGAGTCTCACGGTCTCTCCTGCCTGGTCTGGCTTTGAACCCTATCCTCAGGTCTCAGCCTCCTGAGTAGCTAGGATTACAGGTGTGAGCCACCAGCGCCTGGCTGATAATTTGTCTCTTGAAACAAAATGTTACAGAAGAGGACTGAAATGGAAAGAAGAAATAAGCATTTGATTTAGTCTGAGTGAAGTGTGTGTGTGTGTGTGTGTGTGTGTGTGTGTGTGTGTGTGTGCGTGCGCGCGCTGGTCCTGGGGCTTGAACCTGGGTCCTGTCTCTGCACTTTTTGTTTTGTTTTGTTCATGGTTAGTATTCTACCACTCATGGAGCCATGGCTCCACTTCTGGAACTTTTTCTTGTTTTTTTTTTTTTTTTTGGTGGTTAATTGGAGAAAAGAGTCTCACAGACTTTTCTGCTCTGGCTGGCTTTGCACTGCGATCCTCAGATCTCAGCCTCTAGCCTCCGGAGTGGCTAGGATGACAGTAGGATTGCACAGGTGTGGGCTCAGGCGCCAAGCTAACTTCTCATTTTTTTTTTTTTAAAGGGACGACACTCAGAAATCATCTAGTGATTTCTAAATGACTACCCACCAGGCCTTGGGTCTCTCTTGCTTTTTGTTCTTCAGCTGAAGGAATTGGGGCCCGTAGCATCACTTCGATCTTCAGCAACCGCGCAGTGGTAAAATACAGCCGTCTGGAGGATGTGCTCCATGGCTGCTCCTGGAAGATCAGCAACAAGCTGGACGGGACATACCTGCCCCTCCCTGTGGAGAAGATCATGCAGCGCACCAGAAACATGGTCAACAAGATAGTGCAGTACAGCCTGATGGAAGGGAACTGCGAGCACTTCGTCAACGACCTCAGATACGGCGTGCCCAGGAGCCAGCAGGTGCGGCTCCCCGGGCCAGCCCCTCGTGATCAAAGCGGGCATCGCTGGGCTGTGCTGTCACGGCTTTCATGTATTGCAGAGTGTGCAGTTTAGGAGGTATCTTTACCTCTCTTCTGGGTTAGGGTGATCTCCTTGGTTAAGTTACTCTATTTCTGAGACTTTTTCTTTGTTTTCGTTTTTTTTTTTTCTTAATTTCCTTTACAAAATAGGAGGAGACTAAAAGTAGATATTTCCTTGTTAAATTGAAAACTAGCAGTCTGGGATGGGAAGGTGGCTCAGTGGTAGAGCTCTTGCCTTGCATGCGTGAGGCCCTGGGTTCGATTCCTCAGCACCACATAAACAGAAAAAAGCAAGAAGTGGCGCTGTGGCTCAAGTGCTAGAGCACTCACTAGCCTTGAGCTGAAGAGCTGAGGGACAGCGCTAAGGCCCAGAGTTCAGGCTCCATGACCGACCCCCCCCCAAAAAAAAACCCAACAAAAAACAAAACAAAAAAACCCCTACCAGTCTGTAGGCCACATCTTGGATTTATTACTACTACTACTATTATATTGTTTTATTTAATTAATTTATTTTTGTCAGTTATGGGGCTTGAACTCTGGGCCTGGCTTGAACGCTGTCCCTCAGGTCTTCAGCTCAAGGCTCGCGCTCTACCATTTGAGCTACTGCACCACTTCTGGTTTTCTGGTCATTTATTGGAGATAGGAGTCTCAGAAGGTCTTGCCCAGGCTGGCTTTGAACCGAGATCCTCAGATCTCAGCCTCCTGACTAGCTAGGATTACAGGCATGAGCTACCAGTGCCCAGCGTTGTTATTATTTTAAAAGTTGAGTTACTACCAGCATTTAAAAATATAGAAATGTTACATAAGAAAGATCTGGATTTCCAGCTTTTCCTCATCCAGGCAACCAGCCCTTTGGCCAGCATCCCTGTGTCTGACCCTCTGAAGGGCCAAGCTGTGCCTATAGGTGGTGGGTAGCGGTTGCAGTGCTGTTGGCCGGCTCTGTGCACATTGCCCTCCCCCTCTCCCCCCCACCCCCACAGTAGGGCAGCGATCAGCTTAATGTGCTAGAGACTTGAAAAGCAAAATATCCGCAACAATTTGAGCTGTTCTTGTTAATAACTATCCTTGCTCAAACTCCACAAGATAAGCAGAGGGAGTGCATATATTTATCTCTTTTTAAATAGGGGGGGGGGAATCTAAGGATTAAAAGTGGATTGTTCTATTGTCCTAGCTTTTGCGCTATGTTTCTTTTCTTCTTTCTCAACTCCTTCCTTCCTTCCCTCCCTCCTTCCTTTCTTCTTTCCTTCCTTCCTTCCTTTTCTTCCTTCCTTTCTATTTCTCTCTCCTTCCCTCCTTCCCTTCCTCTCTCTCTTTTTTTTGGGGGGTCCGGTCATGGGGCCTGAACTCTGGGCCTGGGCGCTGTCCCTCAGCTCTCAAGGCTAGTGCTCTACCACTTGAGCCACAGTGCCACTTTCCTACCACTGAGCCACCTTCCTAGCCCCCCCTCCTTCCTTCCTTCCTTCCTTCCTCCCTCCCTCTCTCTCTCTCTTTCTTTCTCTCTCTCTTTCTTTCGTGCCAGTCCTAGGGCTTGAACTCAGAGCTTGGGCATTGTTCCGGAGCTCTTTTTACTCAAGGCTGGCATTTTACCACTTGAACCACAACTCCACTTCTGGCTTTTTTGTTAGTTAATTGAAGATGAGATTCTGATAGACCTTCCTACGCAGGCTGGCTTTGAACCATGATCTTCAGATCTCCACCTCCTGAGTAATTAGGATCACAGATGTGAGCCGCTGGGATCTGGCTTCACCTCTGTTTCTTATGTTCTCTAAACAGAGTGGATTCAAACCTGGTTCTTGGTCTCTCTGTTATTCCTCACCTTTAGGGAGCACTGGCAGGTCTTCCCTAGCCTGCTTCTCCCTCTTTGTCTGTCTGCATCTTCCCTCTCAGTTCTCTGCACCCTCTTCCTCTGTATCTTGCATCCTTGGTGTGCCTGTAGTCCATTCTTGTGAGGCTTTCTGCCAGTGCCAGAGTTGGTGGGCCGTGGTACGAGGGACCTCTCATTTGCTGCACACTTGTACATGAAGAGAAGACCCCAAGGGCACAATGAGAGGCTTCTCAAGACCTCTAGCCCCAAAAGTCACGAGCACCAAGCCCAGAGCCAAGCTTGTAGACGAATTCACTGTGCAATTCCGCTCAGGTGAGTTCCCTTCCAGGCCTCTCAGATTCCCTGTTCGTTGGGCGAGGACTTCATTGGCTGTGGCCCATCCTCTGCTGAGATCAGTTGCTTCTGAGCCCCTTGGAGTTTAGACCTTGTCCTGATGGCTCTGGGGAAGACAGAACCAGAATCTCTGGATGCTTTCCTGGGGGAAGGGAGCCTGTTTGCCTCAGGTGTCTTGTCTCCAGCAAGCCTGGCTGCTTGGGGCTCTTGCAGCTCTAGGATTTTGTGGAAATACAGCCTGGCATAGGCTGGCTCCTCTAGGGAAAGCCTCCCCGTGGCATAGGTGTAGGAGGGAGGGCAGAGGCCTGGATGGGGACTGATGGGCTGTGACCGCTGTGCTTTCAGGTAGAGCACGTTCTGATGGAAGGCGCCAGGGCTGCAGGCGTCGTCATTTCGGCTGTTGTGGATGGCATAAAGCCCAAACCGGTAACTGCCCAAGGCCTGCTAACCCCCCAGAGAGGAGGAGCTAGTGACACCAGCAAGGATGCCATGCCTCCTCCTTCCCTCCCCCTGTCTTCCTCTCTCAACGGCCCTCCTTCAGAAAATCAGGAGCCTCTAGAACAATCTAGAATATTTTTCCTCTAATATATGTGATAAGAGATGCATGGACTGGCAGGAGAGGAAGAACTACTGTGCTTTGCCCATCAGTTAAGAACCGCCCACAGTGCTAAGTACTTCCTATACTTATTTAAGTTTCCTCTCTTTGCAGGAAGGAGCCTTGTTTGCTTCTTAGGCCAACTCTAGTCTGCAATGCTGGGAAAGCTTCAGGAACATCATGGAGAGCTTCTGTTTAAACATTTCCAATAATGAAGAACTCTTTGCAGAAGTTCTTTCCATTCAGTGAAAATGTCTCCAGTTTCTTTCCATATAACAACCTCGCCCTTTTGGGCCCACAGTGTAGTTTGTGGGAGAGGGGAGGAAGGGATCGCTGTCAGTGCCAACTGTGCTTTAATCGGAGAACTCATTGCCAAGGACTATTTTATTTCTAAAGTTGTACATTAACTTTATTCTTTTTTTTTTTTGTCAGTCATGGAGCTTGAACTCTGGGCCTGGGCACTGTCCCTGCGCTCTTCAGCTCAAGGCTAGCTCTCTACCACTTGAGCCACAGCATCATTTCTGGTTTTCTGGTGATTAATTGGAGATAAGAGTCTCACGGACTTTCCTGCCTGGGTTGGCTTTGAACAGCGATCCTCAGATCTCAGCCTCCTGAGTAGCTAGGATTATAGGTGTGAGCACCCAGCCATTAACTTTATTCTTTATTGCTTAAAAATATCCAACTTAAAGTGTAATTGATAAGATCCCCCCTTCTAGTTTTTCTACCTGAGAATTAGCAGAGAATTTGAGATTTTTATTCTGATTCCAGATGAATACTTCAAACATTTACATGTTGACTTCTGCTGTGAATGAACAAGAGGATAGACTCATTTTTTAACATGTGTTGTCTACTATATTACTTATTAATTTGCTTACTTATTATTAGCATTACAGGAATTTGAACTCAGGGATTTGTGCTTGCTAGGCAAATAGTAAGCCACCCCATCAACAAGAAAGTGTTTTTTTCCTAGTCCTGAGACTTGAACTCAGGGTCTGGGTGCTGTCTGATTCACGTTCTAGTTCCAATCACTCTATTGTCATTGTTTATTTTGAGCCCACTACTTAAAGACAGGACTTAAAAACCATTTGTAGGGATGGGAGACACATTGAGTGGCCAAAGTGAGCTGTGTTGATTCTGAGCCCTTATTAATGTCCTTGAAGCATATGGGTGGAGCTGAGCCTGCAGAGAGCAGGATATCTGCGGTATGGCTAAGTGATCAACATCCATGCAGAACAGAGCACTGACAGGTAATGTAATAAAAATGTGCAGACTCGAAGCATACAGATCCATGATGAAAATGGAACAGCTATTCAAAGCATATTTTTTTCAGTTAGGGGAATTTTCTCACGTGAGAATTTAAGGCAACCTATGCCTAGGGAAGGTAAAATGGAGGCCAACTTCTGTCATGACTTTCACATTCTCTACATAAATACGCCTTTTCAAATCCTTGCTTTCTATGGAGTGGGGCAGTCTGTCCTTTCTATTTGGGATGACCATGCATACACCTGACCAAAGTGTTTACCCAGTCCTGATCTTCTCAGAGATACTTGGTCTTCAGTGGAATGACCGGGTAAATGAGAGGCTTAGTAAACCAAACATTTGGACAAATGTTTGTGAACCCAAAGTCAAATATTTGCCTGTTTCACTTGGACATTTCCCTTCCAGTGACATGCGGACTCCTGTGTAGGTTTAATAATTCACTTGACCTGGAAAGAACAGCTTTCCTTAGGATAACCATTAGACAGACAATGAGGCATTTATAATAGAGAAAGAGGACCCTGTTATAATCATGCTCAGATAACAGATAACAGCTCTAAACTCTTTCCACTCTAGGCTATGTAAGATGGTGGTCATCTTTGTGCATAAGTGAAGAAATTTAATGGAGGGGGGTGAGGGAGAGGGAAATGAAAGGGGGAAGGGAGGGAGATGAGTTAATATTTTAAAATACTGTCTCCATGTAAACATTTTAGCATGTAACATCACTGCTAAATACCCTAGATCTTTTGTTGATGGTACATCATCAAAAGAATGATGTTGGTGATCCTCAGATCTCAGTCTCTTTTTTTTTTTTTTGGTCAGTTGTGGGACTTGAACTCTGGGCCTGAGTGCTGTCCCTCAGCTCTTCACCTCAAGGCTAGAGCTACACCACTTAAGCCACAGTGCCACTTGTGCTTTTCTAAGTGGTTTATTGGCTATAAGAGTCTCACAGACTTTCCTGCCCAGGATGGCTTTGAATCTCGATCCTCAGATCTTGGCCTCCTGAGCTACAGGGTGAGCCACCAGTGCCTGTGTTCATAATGCCTGATGATTTTCTTCTTTCCTTAGCAATAATTTTCTGAGACCAACAGCTTATCTCCCTCCCTCCCCCTTCTTTCCTCCCTTTCTCCCTTCTTCCTTCCTCTCTCCCTCTTACCCTCCCTTTCTTCCTCCCTTTCTCCCTTCTTCCCCCTCCCTCCTTCTTTATACCACTTTCATTTTTACATTTTGCACTCACTTCTGTAAAATTATTTGTTGCCTAGTAATGTTGTTAGCCATCTTTTCACATATCAGTCCCTGCTGACATTCCTTAACTCAGAGCTCACTAAGGAGGTTGGATTCTAAATCAAACATTTGTCATTCAGCACATTTGTTTTTGTGCCCTTTAACTTGAGATTGTACTTGAGTTATCCCTTTTCCCCATTTTTTTCCCTTTTTTCCTTTTTCTCCTGGGGCTTAAACTCAGGGCCTGGGCACTGTCTCTGAGCCTCTTTGTGCTCAAGGCTAATGCTCTACACTTGAGCCACAACACCACTTCCATCTTTTCTGAGTAGTTTGTTGGAGACAAAGAGTCTCATGGACTTTCTTGCCCAGGCTGGCTTCCATCTGTGCAGGGTTATAATAGCTAAGCAGACAGGCAGGAAACATGGAGGGAGCTTTTAGATGGAGAAAATAGCCAATTCCCTTGGTCTCTGGTCATGGCTGAATAATCATGAACTCCATTGATGTGTTTTACATGATGTATCTTTGGCCTTAGATTAGCTATTCATGGTTAAGGAGGCAGGAATAGAAACCGTGTAAGGTTCTGAATGAACAGTTCTCTCCAAAGAATTTAAGACTTGGCTGAAGGAGAGGCACTGAGGAAGAGCTGGCTGGGCTGGGTGATTTGAGTGGATTCAGCGAGGTTTCATATTCCTTCTGCTCAGGCCTCTGAGATCCCCTTGTCCCTGCCTTTAGCTGGTTCCATCTAGAAGTGTCCAACACACATAAAACTTGTTTGATTGATCAGGAATTGCTTCTCAGCTATCAGGGAGACTTCCTTTCTTACTGGAGGAAACCTGTAGTGAACCAGTCTATGGTGGGCCTATGTTCTCAGAAAGAAGATGTCTAGATCTGCTATGGAACACAAGGGTGTTTTACTCACCGTGCACAAAAGGACAAGAGAATCAAGGGCATGTCTTTTGGGGCAAGGAAAAAGATCTATTCAGTAAGCCAGCAAGACTAAGAAGATGGTGAACCAGAGCATTAAGCACAAGATTTTAAAGCTCTTTTTTCTTTTGTAAAAATCTTTAGGAGGCTATTATGAAACTGGTATATGGTAACCTGCTTCTTTGCATTCAAACCAAACATAAATCTTGTGTATCTGGTTTAAATGATGAGCAAGGACTGTGTATCCAGGGAGTCATAGACTTATTTTTTTTATAACAATATGGATAGAACTGGGGAAATATAGATGAATATATTATTGTGATTATCTTGATTGGTTCATAGGATCCAATATCCCCAATTGACAAAACTCTTCATGCATGATAGCAATCTGCCAATTGAAGCTATCTTAACCTCGAAAGGGAAATCCATAAAACTCTGAAAATAATGTATTTCATGATGAATGGCTAGATCAGGGGCAAGGCAAATATGTTCACTCTAAGCAGTGTATGAAGAAAATTCTTTTTTTTTTTGGGTCCGGTTGTGGGGCCTGAACTCTGGGTCTGGGCGCTGTCCCTCAGCTCTTCAGCTCAAGGCTAGCACTCTACCACTTGAGCCACAGCACCACTTCCGGCTTTTTCTTTTTGCTTATGTGGTGCTGAGGAATTGAACCCAGGGCCTTGAGCATGCAAGGCAAGCGCTCTACCACTGAGCCACCTTCCCAGCCCTGTATGAAGAAAATTCTACAGAATCTCCAAATACACTCTTACAGGATGATAATTAGATATGTTCAGTAAGGCTTCCTATATAAGAAGTCAATGTGGTATTTCTATGTATTAGCTATAAACTATCTGAGCATCTTTAGAAAATAATTCCATAAGAACCTAACAACTCAGGAATAAAGTCATACAAAAAAAGTGAGACTACAACATCTTGGTAGGAGAGATGAAAGAGGATTTGAAATGTTAGCTTCCTTTATAAATCCCATTGGGTGTTGGTGGCTCATGCCTATAAGCTACTCAGGAGGCTGAGATCTGAGGATCACGGTTCAAAGCCAGCCCAGGCAGGAAAGTCTGTGAGACTCTTATTTCCAAAACACCACCAGAAAATCAGAAGTGGCGCTGTAGCTCAAGCGGTAGAGCACTTGCTTTGAGCTGAAGAGCTAAGGGATCAGGACCAGAGTTTAAGCCCAACTGACCAAAAAAATAAAAAATTCAGGGACAGTGCCCAGGGCCTGAATTCAAGCCCCATGATTGACAAGAATATAAATCATGTTGTGAATTAAATGCTATATTCATTGATGTATTTTCCAGACAACTATATTGTCTAAGAGATGACCTTCCTGCTTGCTACTTGTGACATGCTACAGGAAGCAGGGAATGCGCCGTGGCCAGCTGTGAATGTGTGCACACACTGTCCTTTCCATATTGAAGCCCAAAGGAGGCTGTTATCTCACTTCAGAAAGAACGGGAAGGGGCTGGGAAGGTGGCTTAGTGTAGAGCGCTTGTCTTGCATGCATGAAGTCCTGGGCTCGATTCCTCAGCACCACATAAGCAAAAAAAAGCTAGAAGTAGTAGTGTGGCTCAAGTGGTAGAGCACTAGCCTTGAGTTGAAGAGTTGAGGGAGAGCGTCCAGGCACAGATTTCAGGCTCCATGACTGACAAAAACAAAACAACACCCCCCCCCAAAAAAAAAAAAACCAACCTCAAAAACCTAGGAAGATATTGAGCCATTCGATTGGACTGTCCCAATGGGAAATCAGTAAGTTCCCTTTACATTAAGTCCAGCCCCTCCCAAATGAGGCCTTTGACACCGTCATC